GAGAGGATTCACCAGCGATAAAGTGGGGAGCAGAACAGGCAGATCGACGAAGTACACTGCTGAGGGGAGCAGCGGGGAGACTGGAGAGGTCTGTCGCGCCAGGTGGTCACCTCCGGGGCAGGCGGGGATCGAGCTCATGCGGAAGTGGCTTAAGCTTCTTAGTGCAGTGCTTTAACCCGCTGCGCCACCAGGGAGGGCCCCAATCAGCCTTTTTAAAGGTAACACCCTGTGGGTAACTTCCTGGCTCAGTACCGGTGAATACCCCCATCCACCCCCATCCACCTACCAAGCCCTGCACTACCAGGCAATGCCAGTAGGTGGTGAGCATGTAAACAAAGCAGCAAAGATCAAAGAACTCCCCTGAGAGACACCCCAAGAGGAATTTGGACCCCAGATAATTTTGGACTGCCGGGAAATGGAGCATCCTGGGAAAAGCTCCTTCCAGAAGGCAGATAGCATGGAGGCCCAGAGGCAGCCTCTCAGGCATTTTGTTTTACAGCCTACCGCAATTCACTGAAATGTTCATGTTACAGGCGATCTACTGTCAATCTGACCTGTTACACAACCATCTGTCCTCTCCCAGGTGCATTCTAGTGGCAATTGTGTGTCCTAGGGCTTTTAACTTCCCGCCTGTGTCCACGACATCTCTTATCTTTTCGTCTTCCAGAATTGCTTAGCAATAACCTACCCCTTATATGCATGTGACACATTTTCTCCTCTTTAGGATAAACAGCATAGAAGGCAGAGCAAAGGAAGGAAGACCTCCTCTGGGAGAAAAGGATCAACAAGGAGGACTCAAACCACAATTAAAGGACATATCCAGGCCCTCCCTGGGGGTGCAGAAGGCTAAATCTCAGCACTATGAAGCTACGGGCAGCCACTGCAGCACGAGTTCAATCCCCGGCCAGGAAGTGACCCACGTGGCATGATAGAACTCGCCTGTCTCCCCGCTGCTCCCTCAGCAGTGGGTTTCACTCTGCCTGTTCTGTTCCCCACTCTGTCTCGGGTGAATCTTCTCACCCCTGCATCTGTGGCCTGTACCCCAGTTCTCATATGCACAAATAAATACATCTTTTTTTAAAAAAAAAAAACCAAAAACCCAAGAATACTCAAAATCTAAGTCACTTTACCCAAAAGCCAGCTCTACAACAACTCCCCCCATCCATCAAAATTTAGTGAGGAAAATCTCATCCCTTGTCACTTCTGCTGGACACCGTGGAAACAGACCTGGAGGACATTGAGGGGCTGAAGGGGCTGCTGTTTTAAGAGTCCTCACATTTTACCATCTTTATGTCAAATGTCAGAGAACTCAGGACCTCTTCCAAGCCAGCTGTTCAGCCCCAAGCTCTTGGGAGCCAGAAAAATGCCCCCTTCTCCTTTTAGTTCTCCTCTGGTGGCAAGTAATCAAATTGACATCAAACAGGCTGACAAGAAGGGGGAGAAAATCTAACTAGGTTTGTGTGAGGAAGCCACATAGATGCTGAATATTCCGAAGACAGACAAAACAGGCATATGTATGTCACAAGGCACTAAGGAGAAAGTGGGAGGGCTTTAAAGGAAAGGGAAGCTGGAAAAAAAACTTCTCAAAAGCTGTAACTGCGCCTCTATCTGGCAGTGGGCTTGAGAGCAGCCTCCCAACACCACCCAGGCCTTTTAGAGTCCAAATAAGCTCCCTGCTTCACAGAGGAGCTGCCTTTCAGCTGCCCTCACAGCATAGGAGCAGTCGCTGAGGGCACAGACATGCTGCTGGGCCGGGGACCGTGTGACATGTGACTGCAGCACCCGGTGAAGGAGTGTCCCGGGGGGGCCAGGCCTGGGCTAGGCCCTCCCTCCCCCCCGCCGCCAGCCTATCCCTGGGATTGCTGCAGTGTTGAAATCCTCAATCTGTGCCCTCAAGGGAGCCTGAGAAAGAGAACAGAGAAAGAGGGGAGAGACCTCGAGAGAGGGGATGGAGACCTAGAGAAAAATGGACAAAGAAAAAGGGGGAGACAAGGACGGACAGAGAGACCTGGAGAGAAGGGACAAGCGTGTGGCTGTCACTGCGTGCCACTGCCTGCTCTCTGACTTCCCTTCTGTCTGTAACTGTCCTCTGCCCTTTTTGGCTCTCAGGGTCTCCCCTCAGGCAGCTCCTCTCCAGCAGCACCCCCACACCAACGCAGGGGGCCAGACCCCAGAGCGCCTCTTCCTCCAGCGCTCCCCCACAGCTTTGTCCCCCAGTGGCCACACAGCCCCACGCAGGCTCAGGCCTAGTCATCTGCCTGGGACTCTCTGGTCCTAGATCAGACACCCCAGTTTCCCCAGAGGGCTCTTGAGCCTGCCCAGGTGAACCCCTTTTCTTCATCTCAGTAACTTTCTGTGGCCCACTCTGGCCTGTTCTTCCTCCAGCTCCCCTTCCTGCCTCCAGCCTCCTCCAGGCCCAGGCTCCTCAGAGAGCACAGAGCTGGCTCAGTGCTGCTTCCAGCTCTTACCTAGGGTGCCACTGAGGTGTTGTCAGGACTGTGGGCTCCTGGAGGGCAGGCTGGACCCAGCTCATCACTGACCCATGGGGAGCACCAGGTGCCCCCAATAAAAAGATGGAACCAACCAGGGATTGAGGCAAATAACACAGACACAAAAGTGTGGCCTGAAAGTTTTATTGTCCAGACCACTTCCCCCAGTACTTATAAAAGTAAGAAAAGTGCTATGAGATTTGGAGGTTCTCCCTGCGAAGCTTGAATGACTTGGTATGGAGAGAAGCCACAGGAGGAAGGGGTGGAACGTAAACTGAAAAGGCAGAAAAGGCATTGGGGGACTGGAGACAGAAAGGGGAGCTGGAGGAAGACGGGGAGGACATTCCAGAGTGGGCACAGGAAGTTACTGAGATGGAGAAAGCAGGCAGCAGGGGCCTCAGCCTAAGTTCGCCAGGCGTCTGATTAAGAAAAACGCGCAGGTCCCGATGGTCATTGCCACTGTCAGCCACTTGAATTTATCATTGTATTTGTTGACGAGTCCATCCTGGGGACAGACATCTCATGTCAGCACTCAGCGAGGGCAGTCCAAGGCTGACTCACAGCCGGAGGGGTGGGGAGGTGTCAGGGAGAAGTCAAGAGCACAGCAGAGATTGGGGCATAAGATAATGGAGACTGGAGAGTGAGGGCCAAGGATAATCAGATTGAGGGAGTCCAGAGGGCCTGGAGGCCCAAGAGAATATAGAAAATACTAGTCAGGTCAAGGGTTACTGGGAGATCCGAGGTCACCAAGAGGTGAGGGTCAAGAACAGATGAATTGAGTTAGTCCAACTTGCAGAGATGCATTCTCAAACACATTTGATGACCAGAAAATGTGGAGGGGAGCAGTGCTGTGGGGGGCTCAGGAATACTCCCAGGTGCAGTGGGGGAGGGAGTGATTAAGGGTCTCACCCAGCCACCCTGCTCCTGGATCCATTCCAGCAGTCGCTCTCGAAGGAAGTCCAGTGTCCAGTGCATGATGGAAGCAATCTGCTCTGGCATGCCTGAGTGCAGGGCCTGCGGGGACGAGGTGGGGGTGGGGACCACAGTGACAGTGTCCCAAGCCCCTTTCTCAAGTCTCTGCCTCCCCTTCTGACCTGCGGTTCTTTTCTAATATTAATTTGGATCTCATCACTGTCAACTTCCCTGCTTAGGAACCTCCCATCCTCCCCTGCCCCCACCTGAGTTTTGGCCCCTCATTATTCACTGGGTCTATTCTGGGTACCCCCTGACCAGTCTCCCAGACTTTGGCCCTGTGCCCCCAAACTCCTTTCTCACCTGTAGTTAGTTGCCAAACAATGTGCTGGGTGTCCCTGTCTCCTGAGAGAAGCTAAAAGGCTTAGCCAGTAGGTGGAACAACTAGTATTTTGCTATATATGTGAGAATAATTTTCAACTCAAAGATCAGCCACCCCATTCTCATTTTTAAAGCCAGAGACAGGACACGTCCTTTGTCCCTGTGAGTAAAGCTAAGTCCTCCAGTGCTCTGCAGGACCCGGCGCCATCCCGCAGCCTCTCCCTTCCCCAGCCCCTGCCTTCAGCAGACCTGGCGCTGCCTCAGGACACTGGCGCTTGCGTGTCCTCTACCACGCGCCCACCGGATGCTTCTCTATCACCGCATCGCTGCGGTGCCCCCAGCGCCGGCTTAATGTCCTTCCTGACCACGGAGACACCAGACCACACGTCTCCCGGCCTTCCTTCTGTGCTCCGCCGCTGCTGAGCACGGGCCAGGCACACGTATGTCAGCGGGCCCCGTACATGTATGTTGAATGAATAAACGAAGGCAGGCGCCCTCAGCTGTCTCTGTCGAGTCCCTCTGCGGACACAGGGCTGCCGCGGGGGCGGAGGCTGACCTCCCAGGTCTGAGGGTTCTGGGGGTGCCTCCCTGGGTTCACCACCCTGCAGCGCCCACCTGGAGCACCAGTTTGCTGGCAAAGTAGAAAAGGGCGGCAACCCGGCTCCAGGTGATGCCTTCTGAAATTAACTGGTTTGCCACTTGGAAGAAGACGGCTACAGTGCAGACTTTATCCTTCACTGATACGATTAGCCTGAGGGGAAGAGGAGAGCCAGTGATGGGATGAGACTGAGTGTGGAGACCCTGCTAGCCCACCCCTCAGGTAAGGTAAATGAGGCCCAGGCCAGGCTGAAATGCAAAACAAGAGGAGGCAGGGGACAAGATGGACATTTACGGGAGCAGAAAATGACTCCCTGAGGAGGTTTCAAGATCCCAGGGGAGGGGCGGGCCTGGATTCAGGACTGCTGAGTTGAGTGATGGGACCCTGGACCCTGGGGTGTGAAGGAACAAAGATTGTGGGTCTGGATCATGGGAGAGGAGGGGGCTGAAGCCTCCTGGTTTTGAAGGTGACCAGTGGCTGGATTCCTGGGTCCCCGAGGCCACACCTCTGCATCTCCTTGTTATTATCCAAGTCTTGTGTGATGTTTTTGAGAATCTGGACCAGCATTTTGATGCCTGCATCCTGGGACATCTCAAATACTGGCCCTCCAGCTTGCCTTACTTGATCAAGGATGAAACTGAAAAGTAAATGGAGTACAGGATGCAGCGTCAGAAAGGGGTGCCTCTCCTCAAATCTGCCCCGGATTATCAGACCTCAAGCTCACTTTTGTAGCAAACAGGCTCCTGTCCTCATGATCTGCTCAGGGATGATGAGCCCTAGAGGAGAAAGGAGGGGACAGGGGTCTGAGCTGAGGAGTCCTAGAGGGTCTCGGATGAGGGGAGAAGGCTCATGGTTCCGCGAGGAAGGACAACAGGACTTCTGGGGGCCTGGTGGATAAAGTGACCGGGGACCTAGACAACTGAGTCCCTGATACAGAGTGAAGCAGGGAGACCAGGGGGCTACTTTTTTTTTTTTTCCAGTTTTACTTATTTATGCATACAGAACTGGAGTACAGGCCAGAGGTGCAGGGGCAGTGAGAGGATTCACCAGAGACAGAGTGGGGAGCAGAACAGGCAGATCGATGAAGTACACTGCTGAGGGGAGCAGCGGGGAGACAGGAGAGGTCTGCTGCCCCCTGTGGGTCACTCTCTGGCCAGGATCGAACTGGCACTAAGGCGGCTGCAGCTTGCAGCGGGGTGGGGATGGGGGGGCTTTAACCAGGGAGTCCTGGGGCTACTCTCAAGGCGGCCACACCTCTGGCCTGAGGGGCAGAGAGGAGAGCCCCCCTCCCCCCTCCACCATGGCCGCAGGCAGGAAGTGGGTCTGTCCAGGTTCTTGGGGGGCCTGAGTCACTCGCAAGAGATGGGGTGCGGAAGTCAGAGAGCCGGAAGCGCTTGGCGATCCCGCGGCTGGGAGCCGGCAGGAGCGATCGCCCCGGGGTTCGCCCCCCAGCCGCCCCTCGGCCTCGGGCCTCACCTCCGCCTGTGCGCCGTGCCATGGCCTGGTCCATGCCCGCTGCTCCCCCGCTGACTCTGGCGATGCCGGCGCGACGGCAGAGTCCACTCCCGGGGACTGCGACCTCCGACTAGCCACCGGCTCTGCCCCAAAGAGGCGCCCAGCCAGCTGGCGGGAGCTCCACCCCCTCTTGCGCCGTCCAGTCAGCGACTCGCTGCACGCTCGGCCCACCAGCTCGTGTGTGCGTGTGTGTGTGTGTGTGTGTGTGTGTGTGCGCACTTAACAGGGATATGAAGTTCAAAAAGTAGCAAAATCTCTGGTGATAGACGGGCAGCGTGTGGACCCCAAGAAGGGCTTCTGGGTTGTCCAACATGTGCTTGAGCTATGTGGTGATTATCGGGGTGCACATATTTTAAAACCCATTCAGCTGTGTAGGTAAAACTTGCACTTTACTGTGTGGCTTTCATTATCTCTCCTTATAAACAGAGAAAAAAAAAGATCAACCCATTAAAAAATAATCTGGGGCATGCTACGGATATCTATTCAGCCTATATGGTTAAAATATCTATTTTTAATCTTAGGGAGTGAACGAATGAACGTTTTAGCAAAGGGGTCTAGAAAATGAATATATATAGTCAGTTGCATATGGTACTACAAATACTGTTTTATTAAATTCCCTTCTAAGTTTTTTTTTTTTTTGAAAAAAACAATTACCAAGCAGGAAGTGGAAGAAGCTTTGTAAACAGAGAAGGGGGAGGGGAAATCAACAGATATTGTGCAAGCAAATCCGCTAAGACATCCCAAGGACAGAGGGCCCTGAGAGCTGACGTAGGAAGGTTTCTTGGGTGAAGACAACAGGCCAAAACTGGGGTTTCTCATACTGACTAGGGTGTGAAAAATGAGTCCATCCTGTTGTTGGTTGAGACCAGCTGTTCTGTTTCGCTATTGTGCAACAAATCAGAGCAGAATAACAATAACCCAGTGCTGTATTTCCTCCACAGGTCTGTGCCCAGCTGGGGAGCCTCCGCCTGGAGTTCTGGGGTCACTAAGTGTCTCCCATCAGCTCCCCAGTGGGGCTGGGACAGCAGAGAGTCTGAGGCAGTTGTCTCCTGACCTGGCGCTCCTCCGTTTTCAGGGGCCCTCACGGCTTTCCATTTGGCTTCGTTTAAGACTCAGTTGATTTGTGGATGCATACAAAGAGCAGGGTGTAGGCCACATGTGCTTTGTGTGGATTAGTGTAGCCCTCTACTGGGCCAGGGACGGGCCCTGTGAAGGGCTAACCAGACGATGACTGCTGTGTCCAGCCTGCAGTGAGTCTTTATTTTGCAGCGTGCTTTTTATACCCTTTTATACCACACATTCGCAAGCAGTAACAACAGTGTATGGGCCGATTCTAACTCTGTCTGGTGTTCTGGTTCTTGGAACACCCTGGCCAGCCCCAGATGGCTGAGCCCTCACACCCTCCCGGACACTTCTCCTGACCTGCCCTTTAGCTGTCTTCCTCAGGCATGGCTGCTGGCTCGCATGACCTATTTTCTCACACTCTTGGAGCTCAGACCTGGCACTCCAGAGCGTCCCCCAAGGTGTGTGTGTTCTCACGTGCCTTTCGGTGTCCAAGTCCAGATGCCAGTCAAGGCCTTGCAGGAGCTCTGCTAATAGATTAGAATCATGATTTCAGGGCAGCTGAAGTTCTTGAATGGTGGGTGAAGGTTCAAGAGGGCCTCCCTGGTTGCATGGGGGCTCAGTCTCAGCACTATCAAGCTACTGCCAGTCACTGCAGCACAAGTTTAATCCCCAGCCAGGGAGCGACCCCCAGGGTGCAGCAGACCTCTCCTGTCTCCCGGCTGCTCCCCTCAGCAGTGTGTTTCAGCCGAGCTGCCTTTTCTGCTCCCCGCTCTGTCTCTGGGGAGTCCTCTCATCCTGCACCTCTGGCCTGCACCTCAGTTTGTATACACATGGATAAAGAAATCTTTAAGAAGAAAAAAAGAAAGAGAAAGAGAAAGAGTGTGTGTATCTGGCAGCCAGGAAGAATGGTATTACCCTGCCTGACCAGAATTTGTTCAGTTTTGTTTCTGCTGTGTGCCAGAGCTACAGAAATGTTATGAGATCACAAGATTTCCAGGAAAGAGAAACTGAACTCTACCACTTCATTGGAGAGGAAATTACCTCAGCCAGTGCAGCAAGTCCAGCAAAGGCTAATATAACGTGGCTTATACAAGGCGGAGGCTTTCTTCTGTCTCATGTAGCAGCCTAAGATACTAACACTAAAATTCCACAGGCCAGGGAGGCTGACAGCTCATATATGGCAATGTGACGTGGCTGCGTGGCAGGAGATATCAGGATTAACATTATTCAGAGGGATATGTGAGGGTGCTTTTCGTTTTAAGATTTATTTATTTATGCTTACAGAAGTGGGGTACAGGAAGGAGGTGCAGGGGCAGCGAAAGGATTCACCAGAGACAGAGTGGGAAGCAGAGCAGGCAGACTGACTGAAACCCACTGCTGAGGGGAGCAGCGGGGAGAGCGGAGAGGCCTGCCGCGCCTGCAGAGTTGACTTGGGCTGGCCACACACCTAGCTACAGCTCCCCTGGATGCTTGTTGAGTTGAGCGGCACTGACTTCGTGATCACACCGACAGATTGGGGGATGACCCAGACGTTAACTATCCTGGCATGGAAACTCTTGCAAAGGCAAATCCCTCCTTCGCTGCTGGAATTACTGTACCCAGCGGAGAGCCAAAGCTTCCAGAAGCCGATGCAGAGACCTCGCCTCAAAGCAGAGGGCCATCACCTAGCAATTGTGAGAAGCTAGTGCGTGCTGGAAGTTACTCATACACCACCCCACTTATTCTTCATCAGAGGAGGTAGTACTGGTATGTCTCCTTTACTAAGGAGGCAAAGGCAGAGAGAAGCTGGGGGACAGTGGCTGGGGGACACCTCCTAACCTGTGGTTAGGGACACACCAGCTGAGGTCACCCAGATTGTGGCAGGCAAGCTCAGCTCTTCCCCAGCTTCCTCCTTGGGAACATGTGAGAAATGTGACCCTGACCCCACATTTATCTTCTTTCCCACATCCTTTCACCAAATTTATTCTCCTTTGATGGTGGGCTCTCTGCAGCCCCCCCACAAACCACCGCTGGCTACGAAGATCTCTGTGCAAACCATGTCTTTATTTACTCAGGACACGCATCAGCGTTTGTCTTGGGGAAAGGTGACTCCGATGGCCTTCCTTGCCTCCTCGAGGATGGTAGCCAGGAGCTCACTTTCCGCCAGGGGAATCACAGGGCTTTCCTTCAGGCCTGGGGGAGAGTGCCGTTTGGGTGACTTTACTCAAGGCCCAGACCACCAAAAAGTTCCCAGAATCCCATGCGGAGCAACAACATAGGCCTCAGGCAGAGGGATGCCCCAGGGGGAGCTGGGAGTTTTGTTCTAACCGGCATGTGAGTTGCTGAGGTGTTGCCCTGGGACCCCTGCGCCGGCCCCCCACATTCCACATCCTTACCCTTACGCAGGCACTCGCGGACATGCTGGGCTTCATAAGTCATGCCTGGTCCGTTAGTAAAGTTGAACTGCTTGTTTGGGGCCGGGGGCAGCGAGAACTCCTTATGCTCCCCGTTTACCACCAACTCTGTGGGGCACCAGCAAGGGTCCAGAACCTGGGGCAGACAACAGGAGTCCTACTGCCTCCGCCAGCCAGGCTGCTGGGCGCTCCTGGTGATACACAGGCACCCCTCGTGCCGGGTGGTCAAGGGCTGACTGTCCTCCCCCTTCGCTGGTTACTGGGGGTGAGTCCTTAGCAGTCCAGGTGCCACAGGAGTCTGCCACCCCAGAGGCAAAGCCCTGGCCAAGTGGTGGCCAAGACCTGAAGAGCACTTGGCCCATCTCCTGTCAGTGGACCCCTTTGCAAGGAGACTCAAGCCAGCACCTTCTTGGCCACTAAGAATTTTTCCTCCTTAAGTCCCACTGCTCTGGGAAGCCTGCATAGTTCCATACCTAAATCTAGATCAAATGGAAACGCAGAGAAGTGGTTGACACAAGCCTGGGGTAGGTTCCAAGTGATTCAGCTCAGGGCTCCAGGAATCTAGTGAAGTCCACCTTTGGCTGTGCCCCGGTTCTGTGCCAGAAGCAACCCCAGAGGTCTCACCGCTGTCTCCCAATGGCGTCTCCTCAAGCCCGAGGAGCTTGACAGGCCACAGGCCACCCTCAAGAGGGTCCAAGCTCCAGCACTGGGCCTGGTGCTGGGCCGGACCCCATGCAGTGAGGCGGGGGAAGGCCGAACCTCCAGTTCTAGCAGCCCCAGCAGCTTGCTCCTGCTCTGAGGGCCACGCTGCCTGAATACGCCCGTCCAGCTCGGCTGGCCACGCTGCCCTCACCTTGGCACTGCCCTTGGTGCCGCTCACGTAGGCCGTGTTGGAGAGCTCAGCGGTGATGCTGCAGGTGAAGCTTCCATGGACGCCCCCGGGGTACTGGAGTAGCACAGTGACGGTGTCGTCCACGCCTGGGAGAGGACAGGGAGAAGGCCTGGCTCAGATCTGATCTGGGAGTCCTCGGGCCACAAGGAAGGCCACACACCTCAGGGGTCCCTCTGTCCCCAACGGCCACGATGGCAGAGCCAGGAGCCAGAGAGCAAATCAATAGCTGCTCAAGAGCTTGGGGAGGGGTGTGGGGGGGGGAGGAAAGAATTGGCTGTGGAGTGATTTTTTGTTTGTTTTTCTTTTCTGAGAGTAACGAAAATACTCTAAGATTGATGATGGGGATGGACAAGAAAGTCTGGGGTGCACGGAAGCCTTGCAATGCAACTTCAGGCGAACCCCTTGCATGGTACCTGGCCTGGACGTTCCTGCAGCGGGCGAACTGATTCTCGGGGCCAGGAGGCTCATTCCCAGCGTAGTGCTCCCAGGAGGCAGGGAGCACTCCCACGGCCGTCAAGGAAGCCAGGACTGACCGTACCTGTCTCATGGCGCCTTCCCACGGCTGAAATCTTCTCTGGCTTCTGCCCACCAAAGACCATGGAGATGAACTGGATGCAGTAGATGCCAATGTCCAGCAGGCCACCGCCAGCCTGGGCCCAGTCCACGGCTCGGGGAACATGGGTAAGATCCTTCCCAAATTCAGCCCGAGCCACCCGAAGGTCCCCCAGGGTGC